ATTAATAACACCAATATTAATAAAGTATATGCAACTAAATCAATAATAATAACACCAATATTAATAAAGTATATGCAACTAAATCAATAATAATAACACCAATATTAATAAAGTATATGCAACTAAATCAATAATAATAACACCAATATTAATAAAGTATATGCAACTAAATCAATAATAATAACACCAATATTAATAAAGTATATGCAACTAAATCAATAATAATAACACCAATATTAATAAAGTATATGCAACTAAATCAATATTAATAACACCAATATTAATAAAGTATATGCAACTAAATCAATATTAATAACACCAATATTAATAAAGTATATGCAACTAAATCAATATTAATAACACCAATATTAATAAAGTATATGCAACTAAATCAATAATAATAACACCAATATTAATAAAGTATATGCAACTAAATCAATAATAATAACACCAATATTAATAAAGTATATGCAACTAAATCAATAATAATAACACCAATATTAATAAAGTATATGCAACTAAATCAATATTAATAACACCAATATTAATAAAGTATATGCAACTAAATCAATATTAATAACACCAATATTAATAAAGTATATGCAACTAAATCAATATTAATAACACCAATATTAATAAAGTATATGCAACTAAATCAATATTAATAACACCAATATTAATAAAGTATATGCAACTAAATCAATATTAATAACACCAATATTAATAAAGTATATGCAACTAAATCAATATTAATAACACCAATATTAATAAAGTATATGCAACTAAATCAATAATAATAACACCAATATTAATAAAGTATATGCAACTAAATCAATAATAATAACACCAATATTAATAAAGTATATGCAACTAAATCAATATTAATAACACCAATATTAATAAAGTATATGCAACTAAATCAATATTAATAACACCAATATTAATAAAGTATATGCAACTAAATCAATATTAATAACACCAATATTAATAAAGTATATGCAACTAAATCAATATTAATAACACCAATATTAATAAAGTATATGCAACTAAATCAATATTAATAACACCAATATTAATAAAGTATATGCAACTAAATCAATATTAATAACACCAATATTAATAAAGTATATGCAACTAAATCAATATTAATAACACCAATATTAATAAAGTATATGCAACTAAATCAATATTAATAACACCAATATTAATAAAGTATATGCAACTAAATCAATATTAATAACACCAATATTAATAAAGTATATGCAACTAAATCAATATTAATAACACCAATATTAATAAAGTATATGCAACTAAATCAATATTAATAACACCAATATTAATAAAGTATATGCAACTAAATCAATATTAATAACACCAATATTAATAAAGTATATGCAACTAAATCAATATTAATAACACCAATATTAATAAAGTATATGCAACTAAATCAATAATAATAACACCAATATTAATAAAGTATATGCAACTAAATCAATAATAATAACACCAATATTAATAAAGTATATGCAACTAAATCAATATTAATAACACCAATATTAATAAAGTATATGCAACTAAATCAATATTAATAAAGTATATGCAACTAAATCAATATTAATAAAGTATAATAATAATAACAATAATAGATCAGAGCAAAAATAAAATAAATATAAAAAAAATATATTAAATAAAATAGTTTCAATAAGTAAGATTAATCTAACTATTATTAAAACATATAAATAAATTTTTACAATTTTATTTTTAACATTAGGAATATTTTTAAAACACTATTTTAAATACAAGAAATATTTACATAATGCTAATTTATATAAAAGATAAAATTTATTTTTTTGTCGTTTATTAATTTTTTTTTTTTTTTAATTTTTAACTATCAAAGCGAAAAAGTTATTAATTTGTTTTAAAAATAAATTTTCGACAAGATATTAAAAAATATCACGACTCTCTTTTAAACTTTTATAAAAATAAATTGACAGGAAAACAACATAAAAATTAATATTCTTTCTTCTACTGGTATTAAATATTTTAAAAATCATTTATGCAGTCCGTAAATTACTGATTTAAATCTTATTCATTCCGCTTTTATTTTAATATTTTGATTACTCGGTGTAGTTAAGACGATTTACAAATTATTCGAATTCTTTTATTTGAAATTAGCGTGATTTTATCAGCGTATTACGTCCAAACAAGAGCTTTAGATGTTATAATTGCTTCAGATTTTTTTAATATTTAAAGAAATATTTCTTTTTTATAAATAATTTTTAAAACATTTTTACTACCCCTAACAGTAAATCTAAAGAACACCGTTTTGATGTCTTTAGATCACTTTCGCTCATCGGCGTTAACGTAAATTTAGTTAAAAAAAATTTGAAAAATTTCCTTAAGCCACTATATATACTATATCTAATTGGTTCTTAGGTATATTAACTATATATAGTTGACAAAATACAATATTTCTATCAGTTTTCACAAAAAATTTTAGTATTCCGAACAAGAAAGAGCATATAATTAAGAAAAATTGACAATAAACGATCAGAACAGATCATATTATCAAACTATGATGTTCATTTCACCTAAAAAACGCATTTATTTAGAATCTTATTCAAATTTGGACTCGCGATTGTGCTTTTAAGAAGATTTTTTTTTAAAAAAAAAAAGAATATTTAGTCTGGGTTTCTTCGCTACAAACATTTATATTTTAGGATACTGCAAAGTTTATCATTTAATTTTTTACGTCTTTTCATAATTCACAGACCTAACTATGTAACGGAAATATGTCATAGTCAACAAAATATCATAAAGACGATGTCATAAATAATATTTTAAAATTGCCTTAATTACGCTCGAAAAAGTAGTATGGGATTGTTATGGGTAATTATGGGTAATAAGTTTTGGGCCGGTTACAAGTTCTTGTGTTAGTGATAGTGATTTTGGTGGTGATGGTGTTGGTGGTACTAGCATGAATTTTCCTGGTTGAGTGATGATGATGACTTAAATTGAGATGGAGGCAGGGCCGACGACACGAGTTTCGGAGTGGGGGGGGGGGCACAACCGTCAATTGTCGCATAACAATTTTTTCAAGTTTCATGGACTATTAGGAATTCACATAATGCATAAATATTGAGTAAAAAAACAAAACACTTTAAATTTATTTTAAGGAAACATTTTAAATAAAATTGTTAATAAAAATGATAAATAAGAACTAAATATATATAGATATATAAATAAAATTTTTTGTACTTTAAATTTTTAGTTTTTATTTGTAAAAGTTATGAACAACTGATTGTAAACATCTTTAATTGGCAGCCATATATAATTATAATATTGTCTTTAGTTTTCCAAAAATGTATTTATCACCATATATCGGCTCTTGTTCAAAATTCGGACAGCAACACATTTCGCATCCGGTATAACGTAAACCATTGGTACACGAGCAGCTTAAATCGCATGTTAGCCAACCTGCATACGTAAGAAACATTGTCTTATGATTGTTATTTAACTTACATCTTAGCGGTTTGCCATATAAATGTATAGGTTGACCATTCAAGTTTGAACAAATAACCATTACAAATGTTAAATATAAAAAAATATGTAAAAAGCCAAAATGCTTCATATTGAATTGTTTCGAATAATAATGGGAAAGTACTTAAAAAAAAAAGTATATATAGATTATTCAAATTTTGAGGGAAAGTACCAGTGTCTCAGGAATTTCCAATGGAATGTTTTAAACTCAAATAACGTTTACGTCACAAAATATTATGTAAAACAAACAAACAAAAAATTCCTAATTTTTTTATTTGTTTATGCAATAAATAAATTTAATATGTCAATAAATTTATAGCTGTTTTAATTTCGGAAATACAAAATCGTTAAATCATTATATTCTCAGTTTTTATCGTAATATGTTTTTATTTTTCTTAGTTTTTAGAATAATTTAGTAATTTACATAAAAATAAAGTAATTAACCTTACTCCTAACCTTTTTCCTAATCCAATAACAATTTTTATTCAATTTTTGAGTTGTATATTTTCTAACTTTATGTTAGTTATAAAATTGTAAACGTTGTTTATAACTGATTGAAAGGACATTTAATCAAAACATTCTCTTAAAAAATACAATGAAATATAAAATACATACACACATACATAATAACAAAAACTATAAAAGTAAGTTAACAAAATAATAAAAAAAAAGTCCCCATTAAAAATCTATTATAAAAAAACAGAAATAAACAATTCTAAATAATTCTTTCTATAATAGCACCACAAATGAATGAAATTCCACTTATGTGTGTAATATTAAATGAATTATTTTTTGATTATTTTATTATTTTTTTTTAAATCTTACGTTGTTGTTGTTTTTTTAAACGTAATTTTTTGTTTTGTTCGTAACGTTTGTTGTAACTTTTGTTTTGTTTTGATTTTCTTAGTGTTTTTCTGTTTATATTTTATTTATTTATTTGGTCATAATATTTGCAATATATTTTAATTATTATATTTAAAAAACTATGATTAATGTATTTACTAAATCTTTATAATTTGCTTAGCAATAGTCGTTTTTATGTCATCATTAGTTGTTACGCTTTGTCAGTGTTTTATTGTTGTAATTGCAACTTTGTATGTATAAACATTTGTTGTATAAAAATTAATACCAGTTTATTTAAATTATTACTTTATTATTGCTACTATTGTTAAAATGTTATTACTATAAAAATTATTTTTATTATTATAACCATTATTATTTTAATCATTTTCGTAAGGTGTCTACTTAATTATCAATTAAGTTAATATTTACATAATTATCAATTAAATTAATAGTTAAGTTATACTTAATTAAGTTATCCATGCAGTGACGGATTTTTTTTTTTTTTTTTTTTTTTGGGGGGGGGGGGGGAGAGGGTAATGTTGATACCAAAAGTGGTTAGCGTAACTTTTTTGGAAATTACGAATAAAAAGATAGTATTGGAGTTGTACTATGGGGAGTTAGTTTCTTATATAGATAGTTACATTTCCTCGGGAATAATATAACTTTTTTTTTTAGACTAATAGGGTTTTTGTTTAATAAATAAATTAAGTACAAAATCTAAAATGCAAAATCTAAGCGTCTCTTCTTACTTGCTGCAAATCTATCAATAACGTCGTTTATTTCTAAAGGTATGGTAATATAAATATATAATAATACCAAGCCAGTTAAACGCTCATCATTGGTACGGTTACGCAAAGGACTTTTTAAGATATTCATGGCGCCAAAGCTCCGTTCAGCTGTACATGTTGTGATTGGAATGGCACAAAAAATCCAAAGAAGTGTTTTGGTGGTTGCCAATCTATAAATTAAAATTAACAGAGTAAGTTAATAAGCAACAGAGATTTAAACTGATATAGTATTTCTTTTTTATAACTTATACCTATCAGAAATTAGGTCAAAAGCTGCTAATAAAGTTGAAGGATGGCTTTGCATATACGATCAAAATTCTTTCCTATCCAAATATTCATTATGAATAGTTTCCTTGTCTCGATACCCAATTACAGAAGAAAACATTCCTACAGTTTCAACCATATCAGTCCAACTATGTTGAGAAATCACTGATGGTAACAGAGCAGACATTTTCATAACTAGTTGCTGGTGGTTTGAAAACCGCGCATCCATAGATTGAATCACTGAACGTTCGCGTAATTCTTTTACCTCCGCTTTGTACTTTTCATTTAGCATAATTTTTATATTTGTACCTGAATTCATTGATAGTAAAAAATCATCACCAAACACAACAGAATTTTTGTGATATTGGTTGCTTAAATGGTTAGTCGATTGTCCATCACTTCCTGTCAAATGACTTTATTTTCTAAGCGGTTTATTAACTAATTGTGCCAGTTTTGCAAAATTTCCACTTATTTCATCGGCAAAAAAAAACACAAGTGACACAAAGAAGACCATTCAAAGATGGAGAAAATTTAAAGCTGGAATAACTTCCACCAAATAAGTGTTGGAGACCAAGGTATACCTTCTGTGGGTTCTTCCCACCCTTCATTGTATATGGATATTTAAAAGAAGAATCCGGCATTCAATATTCAGTCATCAATTTCTTTTTTTCTAAATCATTGAGTTTTATCACATATTCATTATTTCTTACGTCACCCGAAAAAACACAAGCAATATCATTACTGTCTGGATGAGAATTATCTTTGCATGCCTCGTTATCGGTTTCTGTTAACATCGTTTGAACAGGAGTACAAGTAAGAGATTGCGAGAGGACGTCGGTTGGTTCAAAAGGTTTATTAATACTGCAATCAAATACGGGGAAAGCTACAGAAGCACAAAGTGTATCATCGAAACAAATAGGAGGTTTTTTAATCAAAAAATCCGTAATGAAAAACCTAGGTTTCTTCAACAGTCGTTCTTTGCTCATGATAATCTCAATCTAGAATCGCATTTATATATATATATATATATATATATATATATATATATATATATATATATATATATATATATATATATATATATATATATATATATATATATATATATATATATATATATATATATATATATATATATAATATTTTTAAACTTACCTTAAAATTTAAATGTTTAAAAAAAAAAGTACCTGAGAGTAAAATTGTGCGGCGTGATGGTATCTTTTTCTCAGGATAATATGAATAATGCAATAGTTATATTAGATAGATAGTTCTATCTATATAACTATTTAACTATCTATCTATATAACTATTGAGTTATATGAATAATGCAATAGCTATATAGATAGATAGTTCTTTGAATAAAAGTCAGTTTTTTCAGAAGAACACATTTATTATAATTTTTAATTATTTTTTTTAGTCATAAATTAAATTCTTCTACAGATTATGACCAGACAAAGTTCTTGACAGTCTTTCATCTAAAGTAGCTCTATTTGCTGATGATTAGAACATCAGGAGAGTAAGTGAATTCACCAACTTCCTTTTGAGACATACAGTCTATATGTTCAAGTAATACATTTTTTTGGCAAATGGCAAATATATTTATTTTTTAAGTAACATATGATTTCATCAAAAACTGACCAATACTTAAAACATGATGATGTCTTACTTGACATTAAAATGGAAATACTGAAAGATGACCTAAGATGAAACGAAGTTAATATTAAATCCCTATTATTGATAACTAAAGACTTTGGAATACCACATATTAAGTACGTGACATGAAATTTTTAAACTAATCAAATGAAATTTTAAACTAGTTACATGAAATTTTTAAACTAATCAATTTTAAACTAATCAATGAAACTTTTAAACTAATGGCATTTTGAGTACCGAATTTTTGACATAAAGATTTCTTGAAAATACTGCGATCAAATTTTAAGTTTTTTTAACTTAAAACCTCATAAATTGGTCAATTGTTATCGAAATACATACAACTTAGTATCAAAAAAAAAGGTGATATGTATATACAAAGGGTGTGCGAAAAGGCGCTAGTGGGGCGTCTACAAAACCTCTTATTATATTAAAAAATGTAAATTTTTTAAAAGAAAATATTATTATTTAATTGAAATTTATAATTTTTATTTGTATTTTTTAATATATTCTAACAGGGCACAATCAAATATGATTTGAATACTAGGTTGAAAGGCTAGAAGTTTCTTTGGCCTCGGCCGCACCCTCTGACCCAATATCAAGATTATTACTTAGTATCTTGATATCTAAATGCATGCAATTTAGCATAATAAAAAATATATATTATCTTCTTGTAATAATAAATAGTATTTATATAAAAGACAAATTTTTCATGCGAAAATCAAACTCAACTATATATAAAAATTAGATAGCGTATATAGATTCAGGTAAGTGAATCTATATAAACTTATTGATAAGTATATGTGTAGTTATTAATAACTAGATTCCTAAATCCTCAGCCATCCCCTTCTGCCACCAGGAGGTTTGTATTTAAAAAGAGGCAGATCTTCACCTTCATTCTGGGAATATATGCAGAAGTCCCTTTTTGTTCCAAAATAAGAAATCACTTTAAGACAAGCCTATATTAAAAAAACAAAAAATTAATTAAGTGTTCGAAAAATTAAAATGAAAAACAATAATTAAAACACAGTAAAAAAATTACTTAAGTTTTTAGGTAGGTTTTCACTACAGATGGCAGTAATGATGTGGATAAAGCTGGTACAATTAATTTAAAAAAATTTTATCATATGAAATAAGTTTAATAAAAATTATAAAAAATAGTGTTAACCTATTTATAATTTTTCTTTAAACAAATATATATATATATATATATATATATATATATATATATATATATATATATATATATATATATATATATATATATATATACCCATGCAACATTTATTGCAACAATAAAAATCCTACCAAGAATTTCTTTCTTTTAGCTAAAAAAAATAATTTGAAACTATTTAATTAGTAAAAAACCATTAAAAAAAAAATTTACAGCATTAAGATATATCTACCAAGTTCCTTCCTTTTGCGTGTCTTAGCTCCTTTAGTGTCTCTGTAATAGAAAGTGAGAAATACCTTTTAAATTGACGCTTCAAGACAACTTGCACAGCATGAAGACAATCAGAAGCTTATACAAGTGTTAGTGGTTAGCAATGGAGCATATATTAATTTTAAAATATTAGGGATAAAAGTATTCCCAAAAAATATGTTCTGCGAAACAGAACAGCTGGATTAGAGTTACAATTTATAATTATTAGCAAAACTTTTTTACCTGAATACCAGAAACATGATTAAAAAGTTGCAGCCTCAGCCGAAACATAATGTTTCGGCTGAGTTGCAGCCTCAGCCAAAACATTAAAAGGTATTTCTCACTTTTCACCCAAGGCCCAGTACGGAGTTTCCCAAACAATGCTAGCACGCACATTTCTTTTATAGCAGTTTTATTACAAAATAATCTCAGAATTGCTTGCAAACTTCAACATTTTACTGTTCCAGCAGTGAGAAAATGTTTAAACTCAATGTAATGCTTCATAAAAATGAAACAAGTATAAAAAAGAATATGAAGCCTATTTCCATGATATCTAGAAATAACACTTTGTGGTAGATAGTTTTCAAGTAAAATATTTACAAATCGTTTTGGATCACTTTTGACGTCTATAAACCTCATTTTGTTCATGGCTAAAACAGTTTTAACTGTCATACAATCATTTCCAAATAATTGGTAACTCTCGCTCTCAAGAGACTGTAACGCTGAGCGACACGAAACTGCAATTGTGTCACAAGGGTGTAAATGGCAGTTAGCTCATTCAAATTCTTGCCCCAGGTTGCACAAAGTTTGCTTATAGTAAGATGATTGACTGAAACTCTGTGTTAGATATATTTTCAATAATCAAATTACGACGCTAATTAAAGCAACTTTTGTAAAAATCTGAATAAACAAATGCCATATAATCAATTGAAGTACATATATGACTTTCATAATCAAATGCTGTTTCTCCTGGTAACTGATCTAGAACAATAATAAGACATTTATCTTTAGATGTTAAGTTAATGCTATTAAATAGGACACCTTCTTGCGTTTTAGTATCAAACCCAAGAGTAAGATTATTATGCATAGCCCACTCTGCTGCTTGCAAACCTGAAATACTGCCAAGTTCACAAGCTATTTGCTCAACAGTACTTCGATGAGGAATATTAATAAAAACTAGATATGGAATGTCACTTGTTAGTACATTACACAACAACATTATAAATTATCATTCTTACTTGTAATGAATCATTAATAATTTGTTTTTTCATCTTTTGGCATAATTTTACTCCTCAATCTGGAGAAATAAACTTTCTCTAAACAATTACCCTGTTACTTGTCAACACAGCAGTTATCAGCTTAGTTTTGAATAGCCTTAACTTATGCTTTTCATATAATTTTAAAGTTTTTTTTTCAGCTTTAAAGTGACGAATCTGCTCACCATAATTTTTTTTGTTGTGTTTTCAGATTTTTTCAGGTTTCGTATTTCTGCCCTTAAAGTTTTAATTATTTTTTCTTTTCATTTAACATTTTGTTTTAGAACACGTAATTGATATGGCATGCTGTTTAATTCAGCTTGTAGTAGTGCTGTCTTGCTCCGAAGTTTTATGAAAGAGTTAGCTAACCGAGAAGACATGTAAGATAACCTACCTTTAAACTTTGTTTTATAGGGCCTAATTTTTCTCTAAATATATGTTTATTAAAGTCTCGTTCGCTATAACCTGCAGATGTTGACGGTCCACTAGTAAAAGGAGATAAAACATTCATATTGGTATATGAAACGTCTGAGGAGCCTGATGATAATATAATTTTAGGCAAACTTGGTATGTGGCTTTCAAAAAGTTTATTTCAAAAGTCAAAAAAACGCTTACAATTCTCAGCACTGTTAAAATTTCTAGCCCAATTCAATAATTTATTTATGAGACTCCTAACCTGATTTTTACATGTTTCTATCTTAAAATGTTTAATGACTTGTTGAGATATTTTGAAAAACGAATCTTTATTTTTTGAAAAATTTCGGCATTTTTTAGAAGAAACTGAAAACGTCTTTGATATTATTTGTTTAACAGAAACTTGGTGTTTGTCGAATGATACAAAAAATAATTCTAATTTTTATCTTTTTGATTTTGAAACAATTTCATTAGAGAGACAGACAAATAAACGTGGTGGAGGAGTTCTGATTTATATAAAAGATACCATTGCACATTGTATTAGGAATGATTTGAGCGTTTCTAGCGGCCATAAAGAAATCATAACCATTGAAGTTTTCAACAAGACGAAAAAAAACAATATTCTCTTAAGCTGTTGTTACAGGCCACTTGATGGTGCGTCCGAAAATTTTAGCTTGTATTTACAACAAAAAATAATTAACAAAGGAATCTATGAAAAGAAAAAAATTTATATAATAGGAGATTTAAGTATGAATTGTTTACTATACAATTATAACAGCAAAGTAAAAAAATTTTTGATGAAATATTTACAACGGGAGCAATTCCGCTGGTAAATCGTCCAACTAGAGTAACACGAAACTCATGAACTCTTATTTATAATATTGTTGCAACAAACATTTTCAGGTATTGTAAAATCTGATTTATCAGACCATTTTCCTATTTTCTTAACATTTAATGCCGGATCAACGCATACTTTAACAACAAATAAAATTACTAGAAAGCGTTACTTTCCACTTTGCGAAAAATAAAAAAAAAAAGAACAAAACAAAAGTTATATATAAAATATCTAAAAATAAAATCTCCTGCAAGTGAAAAAGTATATAAGAATTATAAAAAGATCTTTGAGAAGACTCAAAAAAATTTGAAACAAATCTATTGTTCAAATCTTATCAAAAAATTTCAAAACGACTCAAAGTGCACTTGGAATATAATAAATAAATTAACTGGAAAATCAAATATATGTTCAAACTCCCTGCCAAACACTATTAATTTTGAAAACAAAATTTTTTCCAAACCTAGTGAAATTGCCAAAATATTTAATAATTTTTTCACAGAAATTGGGAAAAAACTTTCAAACAAAATTCCAACTACTGATTACTCATTTATAGACTTTTTATCCACTAGGCACGATCTAAATACTAACAATGAATTATTGATTGAACTAACTCCCGAGGAGTTTGACATTTAAATCTCTTAAAAG